GGCTTTATCTGGTTTTGGGATTATAGTAGTGCTGGCTTCATAGAAAGAGCTTTGAAGTCTTCCTTCCTCTTGAATTTTTTGGGATAGTCTGAGGAAAGTAGGTTTTAGTTCTTCTTTGAATGTTTCTTAATACTCCACTGTGAAGCCATTAGGCCCAGGGCTTTTGTTTGCTGGAAAATTCTTTTTTATTATTATTCCTTCAAATTTCTCCATAGTTATTCGCCTATTCAGATTTTTTTTTAATTTTTCCTGATTGAGTGTTGGAAAATTGTATTTTTCTAGTCATATGTCTATTTCTTGAAGGTTGTCCAGTTTTTTTTTGGAATAGAATTATTTATAGTATTATTTTTATTTATTTATTTATTTATTTATTTATTTATTTTTTGCAATGCTTTGTATTTCTGTGAGGTTGTTACCCCACATCTTTAATTTCTGATTTTGTTTATTTGGGTTCTCTCTTTTTGCTTCTTGGTGAGCCTGGCTAGAAGTTCATCAATCTCGTTTACCCTTTCAAAGAACCAAAGAACTTGGTTTCATTGATCTTTTGTATTGTTTTTATTGTGGTTGATTTCTAATTTTATGCCATTGTGATCTGATTAGATGCTTTATATGACTTAAGTCTTCTAGAATTTGTAGACTTAGCCTGTATTCTAATATGTGGTCTATCTTTGAAAATGTACCAGGTGCACTTGAGAAGAATTTATATTCTGTAGCTTTGGGGTGAAATATTTTTAAGATGTCAATTAAGTCCATCTGATCTAATGAGTCATTTAGGATTGCTGTTTCTTTCTTTTTTAAAAATATATTGTGTTGATTTTTTACAGAGAGGAAGGGAGAGAGATAGAGAGCTAGAAACATCAATGATGAGAGAGAAACATCAACCACCTGCCTCCTGCACACCCCCCACTGGGGATGTGCCCTCAACCAATGTGCATGCCCCTGACCAGAATCGAACCTGGGACCTTTCAATCCGTAGACCAATGCTCTACCACTGAGCCAAACCGGTTTCGGCAGGATTGCTGTTTCTTTGTTGATTTTTTTCTCTAGAAGATTTATCAAGTGATGTTAATAGGGTATTAAAATACCCTACTATGATTTGATTGCTTTTGATCTCTCCCTTGATATCTTCCAGAAGGGGTGTGTGTGTGTATTTGGGTGCTCCTGCATTAGGTGTATATATATTTAGCAGAGTTATACCTCTTGTTGTATTGATCCCTTAAGTTTTATGAAATGGCCTTCCTTATGTCTTATACGGCTTTCACTTTAAGGTCTGTTTTGTCAGATATAAGTATTGCTACCGCAGCTTTTTTTTTTTTTTTTTCCACTTTCATTTGCCTGCAGTTTTTTATTCCCTAATCCCTTCACTTTCAGTCTGTGTGTGTCCCTTATTTTGTGGTGGGTCTTTATAGACAGCATATGTGTGGGTCATGTTTTTTATCCATTCAGCCACTGATGTTTTTTGATTGGAGCATTTAATCCATTTTCATTTAAGGTTATTTTTGATAAGTACTTGTTTATAGCTATTTTTATTGTTAATCCCTATATTCCTTCTTTCCTTTCTATTTCTTTTTTTACAACAATCTCTTTAGCATTTCTTGCATTATGGCTTGGTAGTAATAAACTCCCCTAGCCTTTTTTTGTCTGTGAAGCTCCTGATTTCTCCTCCAATTTTGAATTTTAGCCTTGTTGGATAGTGTTCTTGTTTTCTGTCTCTTGCTTTGAATCACTTTGTATACTTCCTTCATTCCCTTCTGGCCTGATGTGTTTCTGTTGAGAAATCATTAGATAATCTAATGAGAGATCCCTTGTAGGTAACTCTCTCTCTTGCAGCCCTTAATTTTCTCTCTTTGTTGTTAAAGATTTCCATAGTTATTATGACGTTTCTTTATGTGCGTCTTTCATGGTTCAATTTATTTGGGACTCTCTGTGCTTATGTGACTTTTTCCCCCCCCAAATCAGGGAAATTTTCTGTCATTATTTCTTCAAATAGGTTTTTAAGTCCTTGTTCCTCATCTTGTCGTTCTCTCACTCCTATTATACAGGTATTGCTTTGTTTCATGTTGTCCCATAAGTTTTTTAAGCTCTCCTGCATTCCATTTGTTCCCCCCAACTGCAGTTCAGATGGTGTGTATTTTTCTACCCTGTTTTCTATCTCACTGTTTTGGTCCTCCACTTCTATTTGTCTACTGTTGAAACCTTTCCATTGTATTTTTTATTGTAGTTATATCATTCTTCATTTCCTCTTGATTTTTACATATGTTGATTTTCTCATTCAGCTGTTTTAGCAACTTTATGACCCTTATGCTGAATCTTTCTTTGACATATTGCTTGCCTCTATTTCATTTAGTTCATTTTCTGGTTATTCATCCATTTCTTTCCTTTGGATATTATTTTTCTCCCCATTTTTGCTGTCTCTTTCTTGCCCCGAGCTCTCTGCTTGGGGTTGAGGGGTTGAAGCCCCTAATGGTTCAGTTATCTTCAACTCCTAAGTCAAAGGTTGGGTCTGCCTGAGTTTCACACCTTATTGTCTCTGCTCTTAATTGTACCCCCTTCTCCCACGGTTCTGGTCCCTCAGTTGTCCACTTAAGATTCTCGGGGGTGGCAGTGGCCATGCACAGTTCCTCTGGTGTGTGACTCCCTGTGATGGCCCAGGGCCCTCTGGCATGCAATTCACTGTGCGGCCCAGCATCCAATGCAGAATGGTGCCCTAGGACCCGCTGGCAGCACACATGCATTGTGGTCATGGGACCTATGGTTGGGCACACCAGATCGCACCAGCAACTCTGACCTGGGCTGGGGAAGGTATGCCCCAGATGACAGCTATATCTGTGTCAGGGGCTGAACATGCACCTACTGATTGCTGTCTGTGCTGGGTGGGGAGTGCACTGGTCTTTGGCTCTGTTCTGAAACCGGGGATAGAGCTGGGCAAAGGGTATCCCTGGCTTGCACTTATAGCACAGACCTGAAGCATGGGCTCCTGGGACACTGGGTTTGGGCTTCTGCGAGGAGGTGAAGCTTGGAAGGTCTGTCTGGTGTATACTCACTGCAGATATCTGGCACCTCTGTAGCTGTACCATGCTGCTACAGTCTGAGGCATGGTGGTCATTCCACATTGATTATGGGCTGGCAAGTTGCTCACTATACAAGTCTGGTGGTCATCTGGGTGTTGGTATGTGTGCACTTTTGGCCTCCATTGCTCCCCTCTTCAAGATGGCATAGGCTCACCGCTAAAACAACACCGGCCTTGGAGTGCCCACAGCAGTAGCAGGGACTCCCCGCCTAGGAAAGTTGGATCTGCCAGTCCCCCGGACTCCTGTGACATCTAACTATCCCTCACTCCCCATAAACACACCACAAATGTCCCCACATGCTCCTCTCACTCCTTTGGTTACTCACACACTCTCCTCCCTGCTGTCTTGTCGGCCCCCATATTTTTCTCTTCACTACTCTTTATTGTCTTCTACCCTGATGATATATTATTGTTGACTACATGCATATTGTAATCATTTGAGTTTATAGATTTCTTATGTAGAAGTATGAAAATGCATGCATGCTTAAAGCAAATTTATGGAGTTGTTACGAGCATGATGAGTGTAGGTAATAGTATACCTTAATAATCCTATACTGCTAGTGTGACTTTAATCAGTGGATAATAGAGATAAAGCTATAATATGACCTGAGCTTTAGGGTAGTGTGATAGGTGATTCTACTACTTTGGAGAAGCTGGTGATACTATGAACATGATTAGTAGATGAGGAAGAAGTAATAAGTATAGGCATATACATTTTTTGACATCTGAGTTTTTGTCATTAGCTTTTTTGAACACCGTTTTCTCTATAATATTTTCTACTGAAATTATACTCTAGGGTAGCATTTTCAATTAAACTATAATACAAGTTTGATATGCATAAAATTTTCCAGTAATAATTAACTGGTGAAGTTAACTTTAATAATATATTTAATTTAATCTAGTATACCCAAAATATTTCCACTTCATCAAAAGAGTATTTGGTATTAGCTTTATTTCTTCATTCTAACTCTTCAAAGTCTAGGATGTACCAGTGCATAATTACAGCACATTTCATTTTAGACTAAACACATTTCAAAGGCTTAGTAATTACATATGATTAGTGGCTACTCTATTGGACAGCAAAGCTTTAAGGTTTGATTTGAATTTTGGAAGATCTATCATTTACCTAAATACCATTTGTTACAGGTTATGAATTGGTGATGGCAACTTGAAAATTCTTGATGGGAGACCTCAGCATAGAGATTTGTTATGTGAAGCTGTGGAAGCCTAAAATATCTAGGGAGAGTGTATTTATTCAGAAGAAAGTTCCAAATAAACAATCTTCAGCAGTTTCCATCTTTTAAGTAAAGGATTCTTTGGAGTAATCTAAGCCTTGTGAATGCCAAAGGAGGACAGTATTTTCAAGCAAACATTATGGATAGGTCAATAAATTTTATGCTGTGCAAGGTGCAACTCATTTGTAACTTTTTGAACAAAGGTTTCAGTAGAATGGTAGCATCAGTTTATTTTCCCTGTGGGTTGGAGATAGCAAAAGCAGTTTTTACTAATAACTTTTTTGTATGTATATGTATTATAATATTAATTTTAGCTCATTTTTTTTTAATTTTGTGTTTTTTTATTTTTAATTTTCCCCTACCAATTTCTAAAAAAAAATGGAATAGAACATTTTATTATTCATAACATATTTTATTTCTTTAGCTCAAGTTAAGTGGCATTTTTAAACAGATATTTACTAGTATCTGCTGTTATCCTAAAAAGAGCTTCAGATAACAAACTATCTTTCAGAGAATTATCTTAATATTCTAAATTTCAAAATAAAATTTAAATATAAAAATAAATGTAAATTAAAAATTTTATTTAAAGTATTAGGGATAGCATATGAAAAAAATAGTATATGTTTATATTGAGTCAATTTTATACTTTGGTATGCTGCATAGTTTTAGTTTAAATTTCTGTTTTCTTTCTTCAGTCCTCACGAGTTCATATAACTAGAGCCGTTCTAGAGCAATTTTTATCATTTGCAAAATACCTTGATGGTTTATCTCATGGAGCACCTTTGCTGAAGCAGCTTTGTGATCACATTTTATTCAACCCAGCCATCTGGATACATACACCTGCAAAGGTATAAATTTTTTCTCATTTATTTTATTTTATTGTAATGTTATAAGTAACTATTAATAGATGCCTAGTGCATGAAATTCGTGCACTCGGGTGGGGGTGGTCCCTCAGCCCAGCCTGAGACTTCTTGCCATCCGGGAGCCCTCGGGGGATGTCCAACTGATGGCTTAGACCCACTTCTTATGGAGAGGCTGCCTCAGCCAGCAGTCGGACATCGGTAGCACTGCCGCGAAGATGGGAGAGGCTCCCACCACTGCACTCCCCAGCCATGAGCCTGGCTTTTGGCTGAGTGATACTCCCCTTGTGGGAGCGCACTGACCACCAAAAGGCAGCTCTTGCATTGAGCATTTGCCCCCTGGTGGTCAGTGCACGTCATAGAGACTAGTTGCTCCGCTGTTCAGTTAATTTGCATATTAGCCTTTTATTGTGTGGGACTAGAGGCCGGTGCATGAAATTCGTGCATGGGAGGGGTTCCCCTCAGCCTAGCCTGCATCCTCTCCTATCTGGGACCCCTTGGGGGATGTCCTTCTCACAATCCTGGATCTCTAGCTCTTAATCGCTTACCTGCCTGCCTGCCTGTTTCCCCTAACTGCCTCCCCTGCCGGCCTGGTCATCCCTAACTGCCCTCCACTGTGGGCCAGATAAGCCCCCATTTGACTCTTCCTGCCGGCCTGGTCACCCCCACTTCTCTCCTTCTGCCAGCCTAATCACTCCTCAGTGCCTCCTGCCCCCCTGCCAGCCTCATCACCCCAAGTACCCCCCCTGTTGGCTTGGTTGCCCCCAACTGCACACCTCTCCTCTGCTGGCCTGGTCACCCCCAACTATCCTCCCCAATGGCCTGATCACATCTTACTGTCCCCTCTGCCAGCCTTGTTGTCCCTACTTCCTCCTCTGCCAGCCTGGTCGCCCCCAACAGTCACTCCTGCTGGATTGGTTGACCCCAAATGTCCTTCCTGGTCGCCCCTCACAGCCCCCTCACTGGCTTGGTCACCTCCCTCAGCCTGCTGCTCAGTCATTTGCAAAATACCTTGATGGTTTATCTCATGGAGCACCTTTGAGGTTAAAAATAGCATGAGGTTAAAAATAAATATTTATTAAATATTATTTATATTAAAAAGCAATCAGCAATAAACAGGATCCCTCACTAATCCCCCTGCTGGCCTGGTTGCCTTACGCAGCCTGCTGTTCAGTCAATTGGTTGTCCCTCATTATGCCCCCAGCCTGCCTGGTTGCCCCACACAGCCTGTTTGTTTTGTCATTTGGTTATCCCTCAAGCCGGCCCTGGATAGCTGGGGGGCTGAGAGGACTGAGAGACTCTGGAGGCAGGCATGTGGAGCGGCCGGTCCTGCCTGAGGGCAGGCCTGACCATGCTGAGTGACTGCCGCCCTAACGGGACTGAGGAGACTGGTGCCGCCATCTTGTCGCTGTGGGTGCTGCCATCTTTGAGGGCATGGCAGTCAATTACCATATTCCTTATTGTCTGTAGGCACTGCCATCTTTGTGAGGGCGTGATGGTTAGTTAGCATATTCCCTCCTTATTAGATAGGGTAATTAGTGAATCTAAACTATCCAGTAGAGCACATTTGGAATTTTCAGCTTATTTTGTACTCAACATGAAGCAGTTGTATTAAGCTGCATCAAAAATCAAAATATTAAATATGTAAATATTTAAATAAGTGAAACTATAGTTAAAAATTAAGCATTGATATAACTATATTCTGATGTCATTAGCTATGATTTATACTTTTCTAAAAAAGAGAATTTGGTACACTAATTATTAGAAGACTAAAGAGAGAAAATAATAGATAACCAACTGTATTATGATAATTAGGATTCTGTGATTGAAAAATTGCTTGTATTGTAAATATAGAATTTGTTTTTAAATAAATATATACACAAGACATTTTTTCTAGATTCAACATAAACCTATTAATATATTGTATACCTGCACTTACAGTTTAATGTTAATAATTAGGGACATATTTTGTGATTTTGAACTGCCTTTTGCAATTTTCAAATCTTTCACATAACTTTTTGTACATAATCTTTAAATTCTGACTTTTATTACAGTTTATGTTCATTATAGTGCTAATCTCAATTAACCATGAATTTTGTTCACTATTTCAACAAGGTGTTTGACTTATCTTTTCTCTATTGACATGGTTAGACTTCCCATAGTGGCATTGGGTTACGATATTTTGAATTTTACATTAAACTTTTAAGATATATGACAATACTATATATTGTTTGCAAATATGACATAACTATCTGATATTCTGTGTTTTTTGAGGTGCTGAATCATACTTTGATTTAGACTTTCAGCTAATTGACTTTTTAAACAATTTGATAATCTTTCAGATACTTTCAATGGAATTACTGATTTATTTTAAATTATTTCATGTTTAATAGCTATTACATTTATTAAAATAAATGGCATTAGATCCTGTTTATTGCTGATCACTTTTTAATATAAATAATATTTAATAAATATTTATTTTTAACCTCATATGCTACTTGTTAGGCCTTTACTAATTTTCATCTAAATTTGAATAGAGTGCATATGTATAATATAAACACTTGAAACTTTAAACATTTATTTTAATAGTCTGTTAATATTTTGTGATTTAGGTTCAGCTTTCTCTATACACTTATTTGTCTGCTGAATTTATTGGAACTGCTACCATTTATTCCACCATACGCAGAGTAGGCACAGTGTTACAGCTAATGCACACATTAAAATATTACTACTGGGTCATTAATCCTGCTGACAGTAGTGGCATTACACCTAAAGGATTAGGTAAGTATAATCTTTATCTTTACCTTACACTGTACTATGATTGGTCTATATTCTGAGTACTGTTATAGTTAATAGATATGCTTGGTTATGAAAATATCACTCAACTTTTGTGTTTCTTATAAAGTAAACCATATAAGATATTTTGAGATATTTTTCTTGGTCAAGAAGTTTATAGTTCTGCAATATTAAATTATTTTCACAAGAAGAACAGGTAGAGTGAATAATATTCTATCTTGTGTATTATATACTTATTGTGATTGAGGAAGTATATTCATAATATTAAAAACAGATGAATGATATTGGTCATGATACCATGAATTCTGATAGTTCTTTCAATATTTTGAAATTGTTTACTTTTTTTATATTTGTTTCCCAACTTCATAGTTTCTTACAAGTATAGAAGAAGCTAATTATTCACTGCATTGGATTGTTTAAAATATACTGCAAGTTATTTTCTAATTATAGAAAAATACATACTTTTCATAGAAAATATAATAATATAAACGAAAAATTATTCATAAGCCAAACCTCAGGAATTAACTGTTATAAGTTTGGTGTTTGTTCTTCCACTATTTCTCATTAAATAAATCTGAGAAATATTTAAACTCTTAAAGAAATAAGGCTTTCTTGATTTTTGCATATTTTTGTTTTCTTAGGTCTGTATAAGATGATGTGCCATTTCCTTATTTCTAAAGTTTTGATTCTATAAATAATCAAACCTACAGATAATTATTTGGGGCACATGGTGTTGAGTTGTCTTATTGCCACTAGTATTAATTTTGATCATTTGATTATGGTGGCTTGTACCAGGGTTCTCTTTTAAAAACTGTTTTTGAACTTATTGGGGTGACATTGGTTAGTAAAATTATATAGGTTTCAAGTGTACAATTCTGTAATACATCTGTGTATTGTAATGTGTGTTCAGCACCCTTTACCTCTTCATACCCCTCACCCTCTACTGTCCTCCCATTCCTTTTTCTTCTGGTAATCACTGAGGGAAAAATCATACCTTTTTTGTTTTGTTGTTGTTACTTAATCCCTTTACCTTTTCAACCAGCCCTGCCCTGCAACCTCACTTCCCTTTGATGGCTGTGAGTCTGTTCTCTGTATCTATGATTCTTAATTTGTTTAAAATTACTTGTTTCTCTCTTGTAATAAGTCTTTTATGAGAAAAATACATTGAGATACGTAAATATCCTGCTTTTTAAACAAACTCACTGATTCTTCCATAACCCTTGTCAGAATTGATTTTTACTCTGAATGCTGCCAAGTAGCAATATTTTTAACATTTATTTCTTTAAATTCTACTGCAGAAATAACTCATTTTTCTTCTCCATTTATTTATTTGCTCATTTTTAATATTCGTATACATTTTTCAAGGTTTCCTATTTTATTTAGTATGTTGTACCAGTAGTTGGTAGGCTTTCTCAGGGAAGAGCCAGACAGTAATTATTAGGTTTAGGGAACCTTAATGTCTCTGTTGCCAACAGTTTAGTTTGCTACTGTGTTGCAAAACAGTCCCCCCAAAACCCAAACCCAAAACACTATTTATAGTATGTAAATGAATGGTATGGTTTGGTTCATGAAACTTTAAAAAAATCTGCCTTGATGTAACCCAAAAACTATCCCCTCAGTTGCATGAACATTTATTTTTATGTTCAAGTTGTCTCAGATTTTGCCAGTAGGAGTCCCTTCAAATGAGTTCTTGGGTTTTTATGACTGATGTCTATATTTTTTTTGGTACTTCCTTGCCTTCTAGTATAAGATGCCCTTTGTTCATGTTATACTTTTCTCATCTGAGTCCTGGATTCACCCATTTCTTCAAGGAGTCCTAGATTGTTTTGGTAAATACAGTTTTTAGAAACCAGAATTTTGGTGTTAAATGTGCTTCTTGTATTTCTTCTTCTTTGGTGTCATTGGTTTCTGGGCATTTTTAGTGAAAATGATGCAGAGATATAAATACATGCATTCATCTAAACTGATCTACCTATATTAAAACCTGTGAGTTCATACCTTCAATCCCAGCCCAAAACTGTGTGGTTCAATATAACCTCAAACATATCCTATTTCAGCTTTCTTCCTTTAATAGTGAGAATTCTTACACCCAGTATCTTTAATATATTTATATGAGAGACCTCGTGCATGAAAATTCGTGCATTTGGGGTGGGGGGAGTCCCTCAGCCCGTTCTTAACCCTCTCACGGTCCAGGAGCCCTCAGGAGATATCCACCTGCCAGCTTAGGCCCACTCCTTGGGGGATCAGGCCTTAGCTGGCAGTCAGACATTCTTCTGGCAGCGGGGAGCAGGCCTAAGCCACAGTCCAACATCCTTAGTGCTGCTGCGGAGGTGGGAGAGGCTTCTACCACCACCACTGTGCTCACAGCCCATCAGCCCGCCTTGTGACTGAGGGGAGCTCACTCTGTGGGAGTACACTGATCACTAGGGAGGCAGCTCCTGTGTTAAGCATCTGCCCCCTGCTGGTCATTGTGCATATTAGTGGCCAGTTGTTCTGCTGTTCGGGTCAATTTGCATATTACCCTTTTATTATATAGGATATTTGCACATTCTACATTATGAAACCAGTGTTCTGACACCTACACCATCACCTTCTCAGCATTGACAATCCTCTTGGCTCTGACCCTCCACAACTTTAACTGTGGATAATCCTATTGCCTCCTTGCCCTCCATTGTTTCTTTGCCATTGCATACCACTGGCCTCTATTGATTTTTTGCTTTGCCCTGAAGGTGTTGCCTCCTAGTCCATGATAGCCTCTGGTGTCTCTTTAGCCTTTGTTATCTTCTGGACTTGAAGGCCTTGCTGGCTCTGGCTGTGAAAAGAGATGAGAGGGGAAAAACCACATATATATCCTATATAATAAAAGCCTAATATGCAAAATGCCCCCTTTGCATGGTTGTTCAACTGGGAGAATGGGAGTTCAACTGCTTGCTATAACGTGCACTGACCACCAGGCAGCGGCATAGCACTGGCAGCAGGTGGCAGTGTAGGCACTGCCAGCCCTGATGGGCCCTGATGAAAGTGGAACCTAGGTGGGATGGTGAAGCAGGTGAGTGGGCCGCACCAAGCCAAGGCCGGTGCAAACGGAGGCCTGATTGCCATGTGGATTGCCTTGCAGGCGCCAGCCAGCAACAGTGGTGGGGGAGGGGCAGCCACCTGGCTCCCAGGCACTGAGGGAGAAGATGGCACCCCAGCCTGATCAATTGCCCTGCAGGTGGGATGGTGGATCAGGTGAGGGGGTGGTGCCAGGCTAAGGCGGGGCAGCAAGGCCAGGGGGCACAAGCTGGGACTATGAGACTGGGGGTGCGAGCTGGGTCCCGATCTCCACAGGCCATCCTGAGGGACTCCACCGGTGCATGAATTCGTGCACCAGGCCTCTAGTGTATATGTGTGTGTTGCTGAAAATATTACATAGGTCCTCCTTTTTAGAAGAGCTTGTTTTTTTCTTTAAAAAATTTTTTTTTCTTTATTGATTAAGGTATTACATGTGTCCATACCCCACCCCCAGTGCCCCTTTCACACACCCTATTTTTCTTTATTTTAAAAAAATATATTTTTATTGATTTTTAGAGAGAAGAAGGGAGAGAGAGAAATATCAATGTGAGGGAGAAACTTTTATCAGCTGCCTACTGCAACTTGGGCATATGGCCTGACTGGGAGTCGAACCAGCAACCTTTTGGTGAATGATGTAATGCTCAACCAACTGAGCCACACAAATCAGGGTGAACATGTCTTTTTCTTTATGGAAGAGAGGGATAGAGTAGCCTCAATTTGAAAGAGACACATTGATTGGTTGCCTGGTGAACCACCCCAACTGGAACCATCAATGGAATCTGCAACCCAAGTATGTATCCTTGACTGGGTATCTGACCCAGGGCCCTCAGGTGCACAGGGCAATATTCTAACCACTGAACTATGCTAGTATTATATGTGTAAGTATAAAATGAACATATTTTCTAATCCATCTGAAATTTTGTTACTTAGTATTATGTCAAATTCTGATTGAAACTTATAGTTTGCTTTTATTAATACTGTTTTAAACTAAAATGCTTTAAGGACATAGTAAAGATACTTTGTACTCCATTAGCTTTTTATTGAACTTCTGTGAAATATGATCTTTTTTACTTTGATTCTGATTAGTACTTTTGTTTTTTAAACTATTTTATATGGTTCACTGTAAAAACATTTATTTATATTATAAATATCATAGGAATACATGAACTTGGTAGCAAGTAAAATAATAGAAAGTTTTATGAGTAAAAAATAATATTCTCAAAGGATCCAAGGTTATCAGCTTTACATATATGCTTTGGCCATTATTTTCCTGCTTGTGTATGTACATTGATGTTTCAAGTTATAGGTATTTTTTTTTTTTTTTTTTTATTACTAGAGGCCCAATGCATGAAGTTTCATGCAAGAATGGGCCTTCCTTCCCCTGGCTGCCGGTTCTGCCTTCACATATGACTGGAGCCATCTTTCCACCTTTGCTCCAACATGGAACCACCTTCACTCTGGCCTGGAGCCACCATTCTACCTTCACACACTGCCCAGAGGCCCAGAGTGGCTGGGGTTATGCAGAATGCCTGTGTCATTGCCATGGGGATGATGCAAGTGCCCTGCCCACAGCTGCTCAGTGCCTGTGTATGCAAATAACCCAGCATCTTTGTTGGGTTAATTTGCATATTCACTTTTTATTGGCTGGTGGGTGTAGTGAAGGTATGGTCAGTTTGCATCTTTCACTTTTATTAGTGTAGATAAACACAAAGTGGTATTATATGTGTAAATATAAAATGAACCTTAATAAAAATAATTTAAAAAATAAAGGTAGAATTTTAGCCCAATAAATAAATAAATAAATAAATAAATAAATAAATAAAATGAACCTTAACTACACTAAGCTTAAGAAATAGAACATTATCATAAGCCTGTTTGAAGGTGAACATACCTTCCTCCCCTCTCCAGCCCAGAGATTTCCCCATCTTTAATTTTATCTTTATTGTGCTTTCACTTTACTCGAGAACTTTTTATTTTTTACTATGCTTTACTCTTTTGCTTTTTAAATCAATCATGTTAGGAATATTCACATAACAGAAATAGAACTCTGCAAATGACCTAAATCAGGACCTCACTCTCCACCTGGTACAGTTCTTTCCCTGCATTCAACTGGTTAATGGGTTTCCCTGCCATGCTGTTCTCAATGTTCAATTTCTTCACCTAAGAAGTGTTTATACAATAGATGTTCATTTTATAATAATTCATTAAGTTTAAGATATACATGTATATCTTTTGTATAAGTGCTTTTTTTCACAGTGAAAAATATTTTTTTAAGAATACCTAATGCCAGTGTTAATAAAAAGGATAAGATACTTTGTACTATTGGCAAAAGTGGGGCAAAGAAGGGAGTCTTGGAAAAATAGGAAAGATATTTCTTTGTCAAGAATAAAAAGAGTAGATTATTTGAATGTTAATTTGCTTTGAGATATAATAATCTACATGTTAATTTTTGCTGAATAAATAAGAGATGCTAGAAATGACACATAAAGGGATTGTAGTTTGAAAACTTATATAAATCCTGGTTGCATTAAGAAAAGTTTGATGTTTAAGGACTATCATGGTTCTAGCTACTTGCCTTAAAGGTATAATTTAATTTTTGTATATTATTTATTTTGTATATAATTTATGCAAATTATGTATACAAATATATACAAATTTATATTTTGTATGTAATTTAATTTTGTATATTGTATATTACATGTGCTTATTGTATATTCTCATTTTTTTGATAATTAAATATCTGCAGTTAATTAACTTGAAATTTAGATACTATAATGTAATTTATATATATTTAATGTAACTAAATATATATATTAATTACCATTCTCATTTTCATTTATTGACTCATAAGCATTTATTGAGAGACCACTATAATATGTATTTGGTACATACATGTGACAGAAGAAAAGACTTACAAAGAAATAATTACAATAGTGTCACTTTTTCTATGCTTTATTTTTTAAATGAAGACCCCTTTGAGGATGGAAGATATAGTGGGAAAACTTGGATTTGAGGGGGAACAGAGAACCAACCTATTAAGTTATTAGAAGTGGGGAAAAGTATCTGTGTAACCATTTGATGATTATACATTTATCCATGTATAATAATGTAATTTTTAAAAAGTAATTCCCTCAAGTCTGACATTTAATGAATAATTTGAAATTGTTAAAACTCTGAAAAATTAATGTTTAGATCCTCTGCTATAATTGAAAGTATGGAGCATTAGTAGTAATAAATATTATAATTATATCAAATATAACTATTAAAGAATTCCAGACTATCTTAACATTATTGCATTAAGATTATTTAATAACAAAAATTTTTCCTGTTTTTCTTTTTATTACTTTTTTATTTTTTTATTTCAGATGGTCCACGGCCATCACAAAAAGAAATTATATCACTACGGGCATTTATGCTACTTTTTCTGAAACAGCTAATACTAAAGGTAAAATAATTTTATGTAATTAAGAATTACAATATATTAGGTGAAAATAAATTTTTGGTATAGTTTAAAATAATTATCATAAAATTAGCACAAACTGTTTAATTCATGGATTATTTTCAGAATTTTATAAATCTTAGTATTAACTTTGGTTGAATTATATTTTTTGTTAAATACTCTTTGAGATTCTCTATATTAATGGTTATAGCACAAAAGCAAGGAACATGTGAATATGAAACAAGAATAAAGATTTTATTCCAGAAAATGGTGTGTGTCTTCTTTTAATAAGGCTTATATTAATGTATTTTATCAAAGTAGGGTTTTTAAGAGATTAATATTTTAAAAATGGAAAATAAAGATAAAATTTTCAATATTGTGAAGTTTTATAGCAATTTGCATTATTTTTAAATTTTACTTAATTTTTATTGATTTCATAATGGAAGGGAGATGGAGAGATAGAAACATCAATGATGAGAGCGAATCATTGATTGGCTGCCTCCTGCATGCCCCCCAGATATGTGCCTGACTAATAATGGGATGTGACCTATTGGTTTATAGCTCAATAGTCAACCATCATGGCACACTGCAAGGGCAGTAATTTGCATTATTTTAAGGAAAGAGTACATGTTTAAAAATAGTGATTATTAATACAACAATATGATCAAAATACACTAACTCTTTATAGGGAATGTCAATCAAATATTAAATTAATTTCTAAATATTTATTTAAACTGAAGTAATATAGTCTCTTGATTAGGAAGTATCTGGATATTTTAACTAAAATATTATTTAAGGTTTTTAAAATTTCTTTAAAAATGCTCATTTTGACGCCTTTAATTAAAGTTTTAATTTTAGATTTAAATTAATACTGTTTTTAAACATTAGGATCGAGGGGTCAAAGAAGATGAACTTCAGAGTATATTAAATTACCTACTTACAATGCATGAGGTAGGACATGGTCTGGCTCTTCTATTTTAATTATTTTATTCAAAACATAGCATAAAGTTTTAACTAAAGAAATTTTGGTTATTTTTATGCAGGATGAAAATATTCATGATGTGTTACAGTTATTAGTGGCTTTAATGTCAGAACATCCAGCCTCAATGATACCAGCTTTTGATCAAAGAAATGGAATAAGGTATGAGTATAGTATTAGCATTTTAATAAACTTTAATTGAATACAGTTATACTTTTTGAATAGCCCCTATTCTATGAACTTTTGAATAAATATAACAGTCTTACATATTAAAAGGAAATAAATGGAAGAAGGTGCTATATAAACTCTAAAATGTAACTGATGAGGTATATATAGAAAATAGATCTCAGCTCTCAAGAAGAGTAATTAAATTGTTTCTATACTGGATAGTATTATTTTAAGAAATAAGCCAGTCAGAGAAAGACAAGTATCACATGATGTCACTCATTTGTGGAATCTAATGAACAAAAATAAAATGATGAACAAAATAAATCAAGAGACATAAAATCACGGAAGAGACTGTGGAATCTCAGAAGGAAGAGGATGGGTGGACAGAAAGAGATTAACCAAAGAACTGTCCTAATATATAAAAACTCAGGGTCTGTAACGACCAACCGAAGGTTTGTCTGAGAAATGCATGTGTATGTATCTTTATTTTAAAGTTAGGAATATACAATGAGTTTTCAAATTCAACATATTGTTATAGTAGTTTACCTTTATCCTAATATATAAAACCCTGGGTCCATCACATCCATAAGGACCAGAGGCTCAATCTAATGCCCAGGCTGCGCAAGCAGCAGGCTCTGGTGGGTGGGGACTTGTGCAGTGGTCATGAGGACAGAGGAGGCGGGACTGGCACTCACACTCATTCACAACCGTGAGCGTGCGCACGTGCGTGCACACACACACACACCCCACCCACCAGCTCACAGCCTTTTCTCTCTTTCTTTCCTTCCCTCCTAGGTCGCTCTCAGGACCTCTCTCAGAATGAGGGAACAAAACAGACTGGGCTTGAGGAGACCTGGATGGAAGGGAGGGCTGGCAGAGGGTGGAGTGGTCCCCACTGGCCCCACCTCCTCCCAGCCAGCAAAGAGGAAGAGGGAGACTGGGAGGCAGGGAGGTCTGGAGGACTGCTGAGAAAAACAAAGAGAGACAGAGACTGGGCAAGATCAGGCTGACAGGGGAGGACATTTGGGGCAACCAGGCTGGCAGAGGAGGGCAGTTGGGGGTGATCAGGCAGGCTGAGGTGGTTGGGGGTGAGATCAGGCCCACAGGGGAGGCCAGTTAGATGCAATCAGGCAGGCAGGCAGGCAGAGGCAGTTAGGGATGATCAGGCAGGCAAGCAGGTGAGCAGTTAGGAGCCAGCAGTCCCAAATTGCGAGAAACATGTCCAACTGCTTGTTTAGGCCAGATGCCTGTGGAATTGAGCCTAATCTGGCAGTTGGACATCCCCTAAGGGATCCCTGATTGGAGAGGGTGCAGGGTAGGCTGAGGGAACCCCACCTTCATGCACGAATTTCATGCACCAGGTCAATAGTCTATATATATATAAAAGCCTAAGTGACCTTTAGACTTCTCGATTGGTAGCTATGATGCATACTGACCACCAGGGGCAGACACTCTGACCGATAGGTTAGCTTGTTGCTGGAGACTGGGCTAGATGGGCTGGACATGCCCTGGAATCCTCTCTCAGTCCCTCCCTGCCCAGCCAACCTCCCATGGTCCCTCCCCAAGCTGGCCGGCTCCAACTGGCCCCAATCAGGAGGCTGGACACACCCTGGAGCCCTCACACTTTCTCTCCCCATCCCCTTTCATGCATCTGTGGAGTCCCTCAGGCTGGCTTGTGCCCTCTCGCTATCTGGGAACCCTTGGAAATGTCCACAGGCAGGCCCAGGGACCCCACTGTTGCACAAATCCATGTACTGGGCCTCTAATATGCATATATGCTTAACCCATGGTCACAGACAGTAGTGCATAGAAGGCCTGGGTGTGGGTGAGGGCCTCAATGGGTGGAATATAGGCTACATCTGTAATACTTACAACAATAAAGATAAATTTAAAAAAATAAAGACATTTCAAGAAGTGGGAAGAGCAATTTGTGTTTTTGCAGGAAAATGAGAGTATGGAATAATTCAGCCAAAGAGAACACAAGAAAATCAATGAGTTTAGGATCAAGAGCTAGAAAAGTGGCCAGGAGTGGAAGGTCCATAGCATGTTAAATTTAGATTTGTTCTGTTGATGAAAATTAATGAATTTTTAATTTTAATTTTGTAAAATATAGTCAACTATGTGGAAAAGAGTTGGAAAGGAACAAAATTTTAGAGAGTTATTTAGAACAATGATTATATTCATCAGTGTTAGGGATAAGTTAGGGTAGTGGCAGTACAATGGCAATAATATAGATGAAAAATGTCTTAGGGCAAGAGGACAAAGCAAAGGACTTTGAAGATTAACTTTATTTATGAAGATTTAAAGTAATTATTATAAACAAGTGAGACATAATTTTATGTTAATATATTTTTGAAGGTCAAGTTTAAATAAAAATTAATAAAACGTGCTAATTCCCCCTTCTCCCCCCACAAGAATTTGTAATCCTGAGTGGTATTTTATATTTTACATATGTGTAATTTAATTGTAAAGGATACAGTGCTTATATTTTCAGTACTTATAGAAGTTTAAAAGATGACTGGTTTCTGTATTTTTTTAGGGTAATCTACAAATTATTGGCTTCAAAAAGTGAAAGTATTTGGGTTCAAGCTCTGAAGGTTTTGGGATACTTTCTGAAGCATTTAGGTCACAAGTAAGTAGATGTTTTTTTATAATGAATAATAGAAATTGTATTTTTACTCCTTTTGTATCTTAATTTTACGTGCAATCTGATTGGAATAATCTTACAATGGAAAATAGCTTCTTATGGTAAAAGTTGCAAAAATATTTTATAAGACAGTATTTATTAATAGATTATATAACAAATATTACAATTTCAGTAACAGTGTATTCCTATATGCTTGCTAAAAAAAATATTGTCCATCTTGGTATAATATTTCATCAAATAAAGTAAAGCACATTGGATAGGATTTCAATGAAAATTTACTTGTATCCTATATATTAAAATTTCCTTAGAGCTATTTCTTTGCTTACATGCTAAGTCAATATTTTATTATTTGGTACATTGGCCTTTACTGGCATTGGCCTTATTAATCACTTTTGTTATTTAAAAGTCCTAAAATATATTTTTTCCCCAAAGTCCATAAGTCAGGTACTTTAAAAGTCACCTGCTGATTAAGTTTTTTTACACTGTTTTGACCACTGTATGATTACTCTTTTTTAAAATCCATTTTCTATGCAAATGAGCCAGCCAAAATTAGTGCTTTTATTGAAATACTATTAGCCCTGCACACAAATTCATGTGCCAGTAGCTTGCCAGTAGCTTACTGCCACCCTCCAGTAGCTCTCTGCCCACTGCCCTGCCCTCTCCTCATAGCTTGCTGCCCTGCCCCCACTTGTAGCTTGCTGTCCACCCTCCTGCTGATCCATGATCCAGTCATTACTCGGTCAGTCATTATGCTTCATGGTGTAACAACTTTGCATATTCCATCTTTATTATATAGGATTGCCAAGTGGGATTCCTGTCAGAACCTTACTTTGGCCGTTCTTTTTAGTGTTTAAATTTATTAAGAGTTTACTGATAAGACTGATGAAAACTCCACAAAATCCTGATAAAAGAAATTATTTTAGTTTTGTTATCAAAACAATATTTAAGTAAAAGGGAATAAAGATAGCAATGATACAAAGACTAATTCATGTTAACCAGATTGTAGGAAAAAGTTACCTATTTATGAGGGAACAGTATATAGATTACTGAGAATGAGAAACATTTATACTTTAGTATTAAGAGAAAGGGTTGCTTATTTAAAGAAATTGATTATGAGATATTAATAAAAGATTCTAACCAAGATGCATCTGTTGAAACTTGTAAAGAAAGCACATTTAAAAATATAAAAATGTGAAAAAATTGCTATCGACTACATCATTGTGATTAGAAATTATCATATTTTAAAACAATAAATAAATTATTTGCTTCTGAGGAAGAACAACTACTAACAGAATTTCAGGAAGTTGGAAGAAATGGTAGGATAACAAGGAAGTATTGAACCACGAGCTTACATAATTTGGGGAAAAATTGAAAGATAAAAAACTTTCAAACCAAAATGAAATCGGAAGAAGATCAAGGAAAATTAATTGTGTGGATAGCATACTAAGATACAGAGAAGATGAAATTGGAAACAGAGCAAATAATATGTATTGGTAAGATTATACCAAAGATTACAGAGAAAATTATTGACGTAGAAAACGCACAAGTTCCAACAATAGCATAAATAGCATTTTTAAGTAAGAAAATTTGTAAACTGGACTAAACAAATATATACAGCTGTAATTTAGTGAAATCCTAATACAAGATTTTTCCATCTGTACCAAAGGTCATACAGTTTATCAGGGAAAATTTCTTGAATGATCAGCACAAAAGTACACTATTGGATTTAAATATAAGTAAAGAATACTTTGCAGTATGCAAATAAGGAGAAAAAATATATTGAGTCTTGCCTTAACTTTTCTACAACAACCTTTAATACAGGTAATGTAAAGCTCCAACCATAAGGAACTGAAATGAAAAAAATGTGAGACGAAGGATAGTTGAAGCAAAAAGGGTGCTGACAAACAATTTTTAACTACAAGTAATTGTGTTTTTCTGAATAATACTTCTGGAAATTTCTGGGGCAAGAAATGAAGTCCAGCCAGTTAGGAACACTACAGTTAAGGACTATTGGAGAGTAATGCATTAACTTAACAGTAAAAGCAAGATTAAAACAAATGTTTGAATTAGAATTTACTTTTTATATTTTCTAATAATTTAGAAATAATATAATTATAATAAATTGGGAAATGACTGAGGAAATATAGAAAGTGGAGTAGATCCAAAAAGTCAAATGATATTCATGTAAGCTGACAAATTAAATAGTAGAAATATATGCTTATTGGTTAAATTTGATGACAGAAGAGAGGAAAATTAAGAGTAAATATGATTATCATTGCTTATATCAGGAAAATACAGAGGACATCTGATTCCTTTATAGTTACAAAGATAAATAGTTCAATAAAAGTGTGAAGCTTTCAAAAGATTAAAGAGAAAAGTTACAGTTCTATATTCAATAAACATCCTAAATTCAAAGTGAATTAGAGAAATGCTGAAAATAAAAGGATGAGTAAAGGTATACCACATAAATACAAATGATAAAAAGAGTTAATCATGACTTAATATTTGAAAAATTCTAAAAGACAAAAAGCAACAAACAATATAAAGAGGGATACTTTAAATTATCAAAGGGTGAAACCTTCATAAACAGAAATGAAAGGGGAAGTAGAAAAATAGTAAGTTTAAACATCAAGACAATTTATTGATCTTAGTTCAAAACAAGTATAGAGAGAAAGTAATATAAATAATAACATAAATCTGATTAATATGGTTTGAACTCTGTATCTTAATGAGGACTACAACTTTAAGTGCCGAAGGAACATATATAAAAATTTGAATTGATGTAGTAGACATTAGAGAAAAATTTCAAGACATAGAAACAAAACAGGAAAGATTAAGATTATCTGATTCATGTGTAATAAAATTAGAAAATAGTAACATTCTAGAACCAAAAAATCTACTTAGAAATTTAAAATTTATTATACAATATTTGTGTCAAAGAGAAAATACACACTGCAATTATAGAAGTTCTAGAAAATAACTTTAAAAATTATAATATATAGCTGAAGACCTAGCTATATATATCCTTTTAGTGGTCTTGGAAACATCCTTGAAGCTCTTTTTTTTTCTTTTTTTTTTTTCTATAAATGAATAAAACCATTGTGCTTCCTCATTTGGTTTTAGACTCGGTGAGAGCAGATATAAAGTGATTAATTATAATATATTGCCATGTGATAATTTGAACAGTTAGCAAAAGGTAATTGGTACATTTTAACATATAGTTTTTATAAAATTAAAACATTTCTTTATGTATGACAAAATATGGATCTTAAATAGTTGATATCAAATAAATATGAAATACTGGCAGCATTCATACAATAATCTAATCATTACTTTTTCAAGATTTGAAACAAATACAACACTCAATTATTAGGGAGGAGAAAATAGGTATCATTATTTATAGGAGGTTTTATTACATATCTAAAACTCTAAAAAGAATAATCTTTATAATTGCTAAAAAATTAGATACTACCTAAGCTCAGCATCTTAGTTGTATATGGAGGAATTGTTTGTCTAACAGAGAATCTGACGGGTTCAGAAATGAAGCTATATTGAAGTCTGTGTGGGTTAGTCCTTTGTAATAGATAGTATATAATTTATGTCAAGTGCCTGGAATACAGGTTGTGAGATAATAATATCCTGTAATTGTTAACTGAACTAGAAATAGGTTTGGCATCTATCATTACAATTGAGAAGTTTGTTCCAAATAATGTATGTTAAATTTTCTCCTACCTGAAGATGGAACTTAAGTCTTCTCTTCATGAGTATTGGGTAAATTTACTGGCTTTCTTTCAAAGAATAATAAAACTTGGCAGTGATTTTCACTATTAATAAAGGGTAATATTAACAGCCATATACTTCACCTTTGTGTTATTTTCATAAAAAATAAATAACCCTAATATAATCCAAAGAAAGCCTCATACAGCCCCAAATTTTGAGATACATTCTATAAAACATTTGACCAGTCCTCCTTTAAAACTGTTGAAGAGCTTGGCAAACAACAGGAAACTCCCACAGATCATAGGAGTATACAAGTAAGAATATATGATGATTAAATGAAAGGTGTTATCATGTATTGGATACTTAATAGAAAAAGCACATGAAGGAAAACTGTTGAAATATAAATAAAATCTGTAGGTTAGTTGATAATATACCTCTGTTGATTTCTTAGTTTTCACATGTGTACTATGTTATGAAGTTGGGTGTCTACAAGGTAGTAACATTCTGTACTGTTGCTTAACTTTTCTATAAAATTTAAAAGTTTCCAAAACAAAATACATGTATATAAATTTTAGAATCCTAACTTGGATATATGCTTGACTATTAAAATGTTGCTTCAGGGAGATTTTCTGATTATGGTTATCCTCAAAACAGAATTCTAAAAAATGGATCAAATACATGTTCAAAATGCCCAAATTCTAAAGCTACAGGGGACTTCTGATCAAAATGACAGAGTAGGTGATCTCTGTGCCCACCACCTCCCACAACTGCATCAAAATCACAAGTATATTATGGAACAACAATTACTGAAACCACATGAGGACTAACATAAATAAATTTCTATAAGGAGACAAAGAAGAAGCCACTTGGAGACTGGTAGGAGAGATGGAGACATAGAACAGACAGGTCACACACCCACGGTGTGGTAAGAATCAGAAAAGGTATATTGGTTGTATTGTTTTCACATCAGAAATGAGTGGTCCTAGCCCCAAATGTAGCTCTTCACCCAGACAAGCAGTGTTGGGAAGAGGAATCCTTATTATCATCTGACTGAAACCAGCAGGGATAGCATCTGAGTAAGATTGAGGGCTGCTAGAGACCAAGTTGATTCTTTTGAGGGGCGTATACATGGCTTCTCACTCACAAACTCATTCATTTTAAGCTTCAGTTCAGAGGCATCAGCTTGAAAAGCACCAGAGAAAAATACACTTTCTTTCAAAGAATAATAAAACCTGGCTTTTTTTCAAAGCGCGAAGACTGCAGAG